CCAGAATAATACTGAGATGTTTAGTCCTATGCAAGAAACCTAAACTAGATACAAGTACTTCTTACAACTAACCAATTTGAAACAACATCCCAATTGTTAGTGATTACTTCTGTGATTTAAGACTTCGCTGCAGGGTCTCTGAAGCTACTGCCCTATTAAATGTCACTCTTCCTGTAATAAAGATAAATAAGAAAAGAAAAAAATTAGCCTAATTTCTACAACACATTGATTAATGGAAAACAAATGCTATGTGTTTGGTTTGTAATAGTTATAAAGCAGTAGTCAATAATTTATATACCATGGCTTATGAAGCTATTAAAAATTAATTATCCCCAGGAATCTAAGCAAGATACTTGAAAATAATTTATTACAGTAGCAGCCACTATTAATACATTTTTCTGTTAGAGCCTTAGCCAAAAGCCAAATTTCACTTTGAAAACAGAAAAATGATGGCACTACTTATAATGATGATTTGAGGAATCACCATGAAACTCTTCAAAAACTGGTTTTCATTCAATATTGGAATCGCAGATTGCAATGATCATTCAGATTCCTTCCCTTTCCCCTTTGACCTTTTCTACAGGCTTTGATGTTTCGTTTGCGTGCTTCAATTTTAGCTACTAGTTTCTTTGACATTTTTACTTGCCCATTTTCACACCACTCCTCTTGAGTGGAGAGACTGCATTTTTATACCTATTCCTTCCACTTCGCACAATATCTGGTTCTCAGTGATCCTTATTGAGTGAATGAATGCATGCATGAGGCAATCTATCTATAACATTGGTGAGTTTAGCAAATTTGAAGCGAGAAGCGTGGGCTAAAAAAGGCCATTGATCTGTTTTTAAATCCCTTTTTGGTTTCAGTTTTATAAGTAGAGCTTTGAAAATGGAAGTAACCTACTGTTTTGAAGATGAGAGAGAAGACTTAGGTCTCCAAATTATTCTCTACTTCATCCCTTCCCCTCAAAGAGTCCCCTCTCCTTTTTTTGATTGGTTTTGTTTTTAATGTTTGGCAGCTTAGCTGAAAGGATTCTTCCCCATAACAGTAGTCCTGCGGGTGTCTGATTTGTTAGTCCTGTTCCAGTTGTGACACTCTTGATCAAGAATTTCATGAATTTCCTTCTAGTTTTGGCTTCTAACTGGAATGCCTCTTCCCAGTCATTTTTCCTCCCCTTCTTTTCCACAGTCCTATCTGCATGTTCCAATACATTCTTAGATGGACATTTCTGCCTGATTTTTGGCTCTGAGCCCTTCGAGCAGCAGCTGGGTGGCTTAGGTTCCTGCTCATGATAGAGGGCAGCCCAGGAGTCTGTAGAATTTTGCTTTGATTATTCCAAAATCCAGATCTTTTCATTTTTGCATGTCTCTTGTTTGAGATGATGGTATTTTTAAAATACATGTATTTTTTATTGACTTCAGAGAGGAAGGGGGAGAGAGATAGAAACATGAAGATGAGAGACAATCATTGATCGGCTGCCTCCTGAACACCCCACACTAGAGATCAAGCCCACAACCTGGGTATGTGCCCTGACCGGGATCAAACTGTGAGCTCCTGGTTCATAGGTCGATGCTCACCCACTGAGCCAATCTGGCCTTATTTACACTCCCTACCCTACTTCCACCCTCTCTCCCCTCGCCCTTCCCCCTCACACACACAGCTAAATACACATGGATCACCACTCCTGAGCTGGCAGAGTAAATGGTTGCCTGCCAGTGCATAGAGCCACATCAAAGGCCTTCTCCTATTGCACCCCCCTGATATGACCCAAGCTTTAGCATTAAAACTGACTTGCAGGGAATTCTGCAGGAGATCTCCTACAGAGACAGATTTGGGAGTCGGTGGCTTTAAGTCTTACTTCCATCACGTCACATCAATATCTTTCCCTATAAAAGGTGAGTACTAAGAATTATCTTATAAATAGGATAACAATTGTAAAGCACATAACATCCATTCATTTTATTCAAAATCTTTCACTTGCATCATCTCATTTGACCTTTAGAAAACCCTGCTAGACATGCAGCAGGAAAACAATAATCCTCTTTTTACAGATGGTTAACCTGGTGTTCTGAAACTTTCTCAGTAATCATAGTAACTCTTACCGATGCTTACTACTTGTCGGGCATTGTTCTAAACACTACGCTTCATCCTCACATCAAATCCATGAAGTGGGTACTAAAAACTGGGAAATTTAAGGCAGAAAAGGGCTACATCACTTGCCCAAGGCTAGAGCCAGCAAATACAAGAGTTGGGATTGAAACCTAGAGAAAGAGCTTGGCTTCAAAAACAGTGCTCTTCACCACGATGCGATTTCCCACTGTTTTTTAAAGTAGTGCATTTGACTCACTTTGGTCTGTAAGTACAAGACCAAAGCTCTTCACATCCTGAGAAAGAATCCATTAGACCATACAAGCCAAACAGCACAGAAGGAGACGGCACTAGGTCATCAGATCCACCGACCTTGGGAAGAGAGAACTCTTAACGCTGGGGTTGAGGGTCCATACCCTCAGGAGCCAGGCGCAGACTGTGACCAGAGTGCCAGCCCAGAGAGGGCACACAAAGCCGGGTGGCCTGGGAGCCCTGGGAATAACACTCTGGGAAGAGGTGTCTCTCCCCGCACTTTGTACTTTGGAGACGGGTCTGAGGTAAACAATTGCTGTTAGCACAGACCCCTGAAAGTTCACGGCACCCGTTCACCGTTCATTCTGTTTTCATGGCCCTTGCTCTCTCCTCTGTGTGTTACAGTTATCAATGAATTTGTCTCATCAGCTCGCGAAAGACAACAAGACCAAGTTTTGCTTGGTTTTATATCCCCCCCTCTGGTGCACTTAGTAGGAGCTTAATAAGTGTGAGTTGGATCAATGAATGATTGTAAACAAATGAACACGCCTAAGCCCCTAAGGGATTTGGAGTTTGCTTTACGTTTTACTTTGTTGCACCACAATAAGCTAAATCCTATTTTTAAATGTTTTTGTTTGTTCGTTTGTTTATAGCCAAAAAAAAACCCCACACACATTTGCATGGCGATTCTTTGGAGGAAATTAAGCCAATATTTTCAACTGTTGTCTTAGGGCAACTCTTAATGTTCTAACCATTTTCGTGGTTTTATTTTTGTGCTTATACCCATTTAAAACCACAAATAGTGTAGCTTTTAAAAACCGAATGTGCCATTTAATCATAGCTACCCACCCACACCTCTTAAAATGTTTACTAATGCATGAAAGCCTACAAAAATCACCTACGGTGGGCTTTACCAGCGTTAGCTCTGTGTGAGTGGGTTGACACAGTGGGTGCCGTCTTCCTCGCCACCTGAGTTGTTAGCAGTATTGATCTGTGTTCCTACCTTTTGTTCATTAGTAGCTGTGGTAGTAAATGGCAACCTGAAATAACGTCCTGAAGATGAACTTGACAATTTTTAACATTCAACGTGCTGGGGAGCGAAACTTTTCCTCTACCTCTTCAGTTTTCGGGGCCCGGTGATCCAGCTAACAAAAAGACAGGTTAGCAGGAGAAAAGGCACACCATTTTTATTCATGTTAATGTGGGCTAGAGTTCAGAGAAAAGAAATGAAGCTCAAAGAAGCAGTTAAATTCAGGGGTTTATATGCCATTTTAACAAAGGAAAAACAGCTTGGGCTTCAGGGGATGATCATTGTGGGGATGTGACTAGCGAAATGGCTCATCTGTCTACATTTCAAATCATGGACTCTGCACAGAAGCGTGGCGAAAATGAGACTTTTAATAACGTTCTCAAGAGCAGGAGCCCGTTTTACAGGATCGCGCGAAGGGCTAGGACTACAGCCTATTTATTGGGAGCCTCCTCCAGTTCCTCGTTGGCTGGGTGCTATTGGATCACTATTTGCTAATAGGTCGCCTAGGTCTTGCTGTCTCCCATTGGGTTATTTAGAAGAAAAAAAAAATGGGCTGGGGCCTTCTCTAGTCGCCCTAGGACATGTGCTAGCTAAGTCTGCAGCTCTCATCCCCCCCCCCCCCACACACACACACACATCCTGTTTGCTCTGGGAAATTCAGCAGCAGCCACCTGGCCTCATGCTGTTTCTTTTCTATGAAATAGATGGGAAACTGGCGGAAAATCTGGGCTTCACCTGCAAACTCATCTTGGTGTTGACAACACCCTGCCTTCTTTCTTCACTCTTCTCTCTGGTGGGGGTAGGGAGGGGCACCTTCCTCAAAGGGGAATACACTGCTTTTAGGCAGATCCGGGGAGTGCAGGGAACTCTTGTGTCTGTTTATTCTTGTTGCCTGCGGCTCAAACTCATCCTTCTGACATATTCGATCTTCAAATGGAAAGGGAGGGATAGTGCAGCGGAAACATTCTTTCCAATGTGATCTCCTTCGTACAAGACCTATTGGCACATGTAACTCTTATTTTCTGTTGCATTCCACTGAATTCTTTTTAAGTTACTAAAAGTAATATAAAGTATGTTTTCAGAAAGGGCTAAGGCAATGCCTCTGTAATCCTGTTATTTAAAATGTTTTGCATATTTCCTTTCAATGTTATCTATGTGTATCTGTTCCCCACAGTCTCAGCGATGCGGGGCACACGTGGTCTGTAAATTCCTGAACCTATCACAAGCTTTCTCCATGCTCTTGCTTACTCACACTCATTATTTAGCCGCTGCAAAGTTTGCCTATCCTTTCTCCAGTTGTCAGACATCTGGGCTGCCTTCCCATTGGCAGTTTGCTCCTCCGGCAGGGGAGGGGGGGGGCGGGGCGAGTTGGCCCCTCCTGGCTAGGTGGGACCTGGGCCTCTAAACAGCCACAGGCAGCTCAGAGGTCAAGTCCCAACCCTCAGCCAGGCCTAGCAGGGCTTCTGGCTCCAGGCTCCCTTCTTGTTCTCTGTCTCTCTCCCCCCACTCCCAGCCGTAAGGTGGTGGTGTTCCACTCTGCGGTGGGTTTCCCAGGCCAAGACTTCATTCCTGGCCCACACAGAGGGCCTGCCGAAGGTGGGTTCCTCCCAGCTGCTCTCTCCTTCTGTCCTAGCTCTCTGCAGACCCACTGCGTGCCAAGAAAGGAGCTGGGCCCCTGGACCTGGGCGCCATGGCCCAGCTGCTGTCCTCCGAAGTGCAGCAGCTGCTCCACAACAAGTTCGTGGTCATCCTGGGAGACTCCATCCAGAGGTCCGTGTACAAGGACCTGGTGCTCCTGCTGCAGGAGGATCGCCTGCTCACTTTCGACCAGCTCAAGGTCAAGGGGGAGCCGAGCTTCGAACAGGACAAGCTGGTGGAAGGGGGCACGAAGGACATCATGAGCAACAGCACCAGCTACCGCGAGGTCCGCGAGTTCTGCACCGGCCACCACCTGGTGCGCTTCTACTTCCTCACGCGCGTGTACAGCGAGTACGTGCGGGCCGTGCTGGAAGAGCTGCAGGCCCACGAGCACACCCCGGACCTGGTCGTCATGAACTCCTGCCTCTGGGACATCTCCAGGTACGGGCCCGACTGGTGCAGCAGCTACTGGGACAACCTGGAGAGCCTGTTCCGGCACCTGAGCCAGGCGCTGCCAAAGTCGTGCCTCCTGGTGTGGAACACGGCCATGCCCCTGGGCAAGAAGGTCAAGGGGGGCTTCCTCCCGAAAGAGCAGCCGTCCACTTCCAAAGCCCGGATTAGAAAGGTGATCGAAGCCAACTACTACAGCTACGTCCTGGCGAAGGAGTACAACTTGGATGTGCTGGACTTGCACTTCCACTTCCGCCACGCGAAGGAGCACCGGCACAGCGACGGGGTGCACTGGGACCGGCACGCGCACCGGCGCCTCTCCCAGCTGCTGCTGGCCCACGTGGCCGACGCGTGGGGCGTGGAGCTGCCCCACCGCCAGCCAGCGAGCCAGTGGACCACGAATGACCCTGCGAGGGCGGCCAGACCTAGCCAGAGACTTGAGAGGCAGTCCCAGAGCAGCAGAGGCCTAACGGCCGCACCCCAGCCCTCCTCCTTGTTGCCTCCTCCCAGGCACAGCCCCCTGCTGCCACTCCCAGCTCCCCGCCCATCCTTGTCCCCCCTCCTGCCCTCACCGCCTCTTCCCCTTCCCTGTCACCCGGCCATGCGCCCCCAGGTCTTGCTCTATCCCCAAGATCCCTATTTTTACTCAGACCAGCCTTCCAATTCCGACCAGTTCTTCAGCAATTTTCATCCTACCCAGACGGGATTTGACTTGGAAAACGACTTGGTGTTTGATCCCCAGCCCCCAAGGGCCCTCTTCCCCACACCCTATTATCAGCAGCAGGCCCCTGTGGTTCATAGGGGTTTTCCCCGGAATCTACCTCCTGGCCCATATCTGCCCTGGAGACAGTTGCCCAAACCTTACAGGAGACAAGCCCGAGGCTACCCAGAGCCAAGGCCTCATTAGACTGACTGGTGCCTTTTTCTTCCTCATGGACATGGACTTGACAGTCTGACTATTGCCTACAGAGACTGATCTTGTTAACAGAAGCCATTGATCCACATTGGACTTCTTTTGGTTCTGTGCTGTTACCAGTTGTTTGCTATGGCCCCTTCCTCCACGCTCTGGGGGTGACCAAGTTATTATTCCTGCGTCCCCACCCCCTGTTCTCTTTGTCTTTTTGTAAATTGAAATTAAAAAGTAGTTTCGCAAAAGTAATTGTGGGTTTTGTGCGTGTCTATATTTAATGGTGCCTCTTCCTTCCATTAAACAATTAGCTTTGTAAGAGTAAAGAGGATACCTGCTGAATGAATGGTCACGGCATCTTGAGAAACTACTCAAAGTGAATTTGCCTAAATAATCCTGATTGTTTCATGAAATGGATTGGGTATAAACAAACTTAACTTTTTGTTATCCTGTTTTCTAGAGATTCTTATAGAATCATTGTATTTTAGTACTGGGAAACTGAAGACGTAAAATGTAGCTACCATTTACAAACACGGAAACTTGAGGCCAGAAAGGTGAGTTACTTGTTCTAGATCACATAGAAAAGCACTCCTCTACTGGCCTTTTCTAGTTTATACTGGTATCCAGTTTATATTAATGTTCAAACTACAGGACTGGTTTATATCAAACTGAGAAAACCCCCTCTGTAGCCTATATAATAAAAGCCTAGTTGGTGTCCCACAACATCATCACAAGATGGCCAGCAGTTGTGGGCCATTAGTCCTGTAGGGGAGGGCAGCTGGGGGTGACCAGGCCTGCAGTTGGGTGCAACAGGCTGGCAGGGGAGGGCAGTTTAGGGCCATCAGGTCTATAGGGGAGGGCAGCTAGGAGTGACCAAGCTTACAGGGGAGGGCAGTTGGGTGCAACCAGGCTGGCAGGGGAGGGCAGTTAGGGGTGACCAGATTAGCAGGAGAGGGCAGTTTGGGGCAATCAGGCCTACAGGGGAGGGCAGTTGGAGACAATTGGGCCAGCAGGGGAGGGCAGTTGGATGTGACCAGGCTGGCAGGGGAAGGCACTTGGAGGAAAGATCAGGTCAGCAGGGGAGCAGTTAAGGGGTGATTAGGTTGGCAGGCAGAAGCAGTGAGGGGTAATCAGGCAGGCAGGAAGACGAGCAGTTAGGACCCAGCAGTCTTGGTTTGTGAGAGTGATACCTGACTGTTTAGGCCTGTTTCCCCTGCGTGGGTGGGCTTCTGTGGGGTCCCCTCTATTATGTGATCCAGGGTTGCTGCATCCTAATATTGTTTCTGGCAGGACTTGGGACAGTCCTCTGCGTATCTGAGGTCCCGGTCCCTATACTAAATCCCCCGGAATCTGAGATCTGGATGTAGAAATTGCCTGTTATCGTCATCCTGCCCTGGGTGGGATGATTCTGTTCTAGGGGCCCAGGGTCTCCCTCCTCATTCATGTTCCTCACCTTGAGCCCTGACAGGTCCTGGGATCCTCCCTCTGTCAACGCAAGGTCAGACTCCTCAGATCAAGGCCTCACTGCCCTGAGTCCTCTGTAGGAAGTCAGTGTACGTCACATCCAATACCAAGCCCAGCAATTCCAAAGCCTGATGGCAGGGGCTGAGGTGGATTCCGCAGGGTCCTTTAGTGCTGCCTCTGATCCATACTTTGGCAGGGCCTGGGCCTCCTGTCCTCTGTGAATCTGAGGTGAGTTTGGGGGGAGGTGCAGTTTTCAACATAAAAACAGGAAGCCCAACTTTGGGAATTTCATCTAACACCATTAAACCCCAAATCTAGGTACTATACCTACTATGATCACCCCCAAGATTTTAAAGCTAAGATAACCAGTTGAGCAACTCTATTCATTAAAGACAGCCTAAAGGCAATGATTTCAACCTTGAAAACAGAAAGCTGGGGAGAGCCACGTGGACAGTGGAAAAGGGGGTGAGGTGGAAAATTTCTGTGATAGTTAATGAATGGTTTTCAAGGTGCATAAGAACAACCTGTACCAGGGGAGCAGGATGATTCACATCTCCATAGAAACAGTCACATGACCTTGAAAGGACTGTAGGTAACTCTTAAGAAAACTAGCTAATGGTGAAGGATGAGAAAGAACAATGAACCACTGAAATGGGGGGTCTAGGGTAACATTTGGAGGAAGCATCATCTCCCTACCATGTGACCCATCAGAATGGAACATGAAGTCAATAGGTTTGAGAAGGCTTAGGAGTGCTAAAGAAATGCCCCCTTTCTCTCACCAAAGCATCTTGTCCTCCTCACTCCTTCCCATGGAAGTGTCAGGATGGTGCTTTATGATGTTTCTCTCCCAGAGCTACCATGAGCTGGAGGAGAGGCTTCCTGATTAATTATAGCCTAGGAAATGTGGTCCCTTTTTGTCCTAGAGAAAAGCCTATCTTCAGGAGGCCTGGGAGAGGGCCCTGGAAAATTTTGACAGGGTGAAGATGACCAGGAAACCACAAACTCCTAGCAGTTATGTAACAAACAACCCCATTCACCAAAAGAAGGTAAAAGAGGAAGAAGCCCTGTTAACCCAGGTCTAATGTCCAGGATGAAAGGACCACACCCAAACTTCTCTTCTTTAGTGGCATATCCTCAAGACTCCCTGGTCTTGCCTGGCAGATTCCATCCTCAACCCATACTTTTTCTCATGAAGACTTGTTTTCCCTTTCATCCCAGCCATTTCCCCACAAACCACTGTCCTTCTGTGCTCACTCTGTTGTCCTTCCAGGCACTAAAGACATCCATGGGGGTGAAAAGGTTGACTTTAAGGGAGTTCTAGGAAAGGAGACTTTCCAAAAATTCCTATCCCTTCAAGAAAACCTACGAAAGCTGTAAAGTCAACAGTATGTGGCCATTATCACAGGCCAAATGAGGAACTGAATAAAAATGATTCAGAAAAAAGACCAAGACAATGTAGAATATAATAATTCACTTGAGGTGACAACTTGGACAGCCAGTAACCTCAGTGCAAGGTCAAAGACCTCAGAACTAACTATGAAGTCTCAAGTCTGGCTCCCAAGAAATGCCAACAGGGTGGAAGCCAAATTTTACACCCACAGGGTACACCCATAGTGATGATTAAAATAAAATTGATAAGTGGTTCACTTCCAGTGTAAGCATAATTTGCAGACAATTTTTATTAAATGTATTGGGATAATATCTGCATTATAAAAGACCAGGGGCTGTCCTAAACAACCAGGCGGATGATCAGTCACCAGGGGGGAGGGGGAATTGTGGGTGGGGGACAGTATGGGAGGGCAGGTGAGGTGGGTGCAGCAAGGTTGTTAGCCTCTGGCCTGGGCTGGGCAAAAGCCTAACAACCTTTCTGCTGCCTCAGCGGCTGTGGATCAGGTCTGGAGAGAGGCCTGGAAAGAGAAGCAGGGCCTGATCAGCAGCTGCTGCAGCTGCTGGTGAGGCCCAGAGAGAGAGAGAGAGAGAGGCTGCATATCAGGCCTGGAGAGAGGCCCAGAGGCAGAGGGGTTAGGGGCAGGCAGGCAGGCAGGTAGGCAAGTGAGAAGTTAGGAGCCAGAGGCCCCAAATTGCAAGAATGACATCTCCCAAAGCGTTCCCGATTGGAGAGGGTGCAGGTTGGGCTGAGGGACACGGCCCCTTCATGCACAAATTTCATGCACCAGGCCTCTAGAAGCTCTATATATCAGAAATTTAGTAATTAGATCTTCAATGAGCTATGTATGAAAACTAGAATGAATGGCATGTTTGTGACTACTATTTCTTGAATGCTCTTAAATTTTAGACTTGAAAAAATTAGAAAAATGATGCTATCAATGACATCAGTCACCATTAAATAAAAATATGAGTTGGAGTGGACTACTCAGTGGACTGCTCTGACAAAAGGCCATGGCATCTCTCCTGTTTTATAGAAATGTTAATCACGGAGAGTATTTAAATGCTAGGCTTTTTGTTACCCTAGATTAGTGAAATGTGAATACTTGATAAGCTAATCTAAATAGTATTGTCCCAATAATTGATTGGTAAACCAATTATTGACTTTATTTGACTGGCTTATAGATCCTCAACTGGACCATTCCTAAATTTTTTAAAAATACCTATTTTTATTGATTTCAGAGAGGAAAGAAGAGAGAGGGCGACAGAGAAACGTCAATTATGAAAGAGAATCATTGACTAGCTGCCTCCAGCTGGGGATTGAGTCTGAAACCCATGCATGTGACCTTTAGTCTGTAGGCCAATTACTCTGTCCACTGAGCAAAACTGGCTAGGGTGGACCATTCCTAAATTTTACAACGTGGGTCAGGAAGTGTCCGACAAAAATGAAGTTCAAGAAATGGATGAGCTCAGCTATCTACAGAAGTGCACAGCAGCTTTTAACCTACCAAAGAATAAGATTGCCGGGAAGTAAGGCCTTTATCTTATCTGTGTCTCAAATCCTAGCGCAATGTCTAGCACTTAGTAAGCACTGAATGCTTCTTGAATGAATCAGTGAATGTATATAAGGTAGTGTATGCATGTATTGTTGCTAAGACTACAACCCAAGTTTCAAAGGAGACAATAAACAGACATAAGAGTCATTGTAGCACCTCTGAAGGAATATTGCCAAAACAGCATTACGATGACCTTCAAGGACTCTAGAAAGGTGATTACAAGTCAGAATGTCCCAACAAAGTGAGAATAAGGGACCCCTTTGACCAATGTAAATGTTCTAATTCACGCAGGAGATTAGGCTTCAAAATAAGCTAACTGCCTTTGTTCTTTACATGTCCCAAGTAAGACAAGCAGCTTCTAATCTGAGTAAACGGATGCATATAGTGTTTACATTTCCATGGATTAACCAATAAACTGGTGGTGTGGTTTAGATCTCACTTGGGAATTAAGTTAGTATGCATTATTCCTCCTTAATCTGATGAACCACGGAGAATGAGTTTTTAGATATACAGGCTTGAGGATGAGACACTGAATCAATGATTAGGTCACTGTCGTTAGAGATGAAATTGCACCGGTCACTGAGCAATCCTGTT